CATTAGTAAAATTTCACTCTGCTAGTTCTAACCTTATTCTTGAAAGTTTTGAAGAGGGTTCTTTCATATTGAACACGTGTAGTAATGGTCTGTGGTCTGATTTTACTAAAAAATGCGTTCCATAAATGTATGGTCAAAATTGTTTAATGGCAAAGTAAATTGCTAAAAGTTCTAATTCAATTATTGGTTTTTTATGTTCTGCATTGTTAAATGCCTTTGAAGCGAAACATATTGGCAAATCATATCCATCATGATTTTGGCTTAATATAGCACCTCACTCCACTTTCGAGGCATCGACCGTAATAATAAATTGTTTAGTGAAGTCTGGGTATTGTAGTAATTTTGGCGAAATTAACGCTGATTTTAAAGATTCGAAAGCTTTGTCGCACGCACTGTCCCAATTGAATTCAACTTTTTTTCTACTTAATTTATTTAAAGGCGCTGCCAGAGACGCAAAATTTGGTATAAACCGCCTATAATAATTAACAAACGCTACGAAACGTCGAACCGCGTCCTTATCAGACGGTTTTGTATATTTTTTAACAGCGTTTATTTTGGTGTCGTCTGTCAACGGACCTTTGGCTGAAAATTATGGCCTAGGAATATAACTTCCGTCCGAAGAAAGTTGCATTTATTTGGGTTAAGTTTTACGTTGTAGTTTCGACAAGTGTCAAAAACTTTCGCCAAATTTTTAATGTGATGTGCTTCATTGTAGCCTATGACTATAATGTCATCTACATATAAAAATGCCTATGCAGCCTATGACTATAATGTCATCCACATATAAAAATGCTACGTTGGGTGGAATACCAGAAAAAGCTATACTCATCATTCGCGAGAATGAGTTGGGTGCTATACTTAAACCGAATGGCAATACTTTCCATCGATAATGCTCCACGGTCTGTGCTAAAGGAAATTATATCACGTGAATCTTCATGCAAGGGGATTTGGTGAAATCCAGAAAAAAGATCTAAAGTAGAAAAATATTTAGCTCAGCCAAGATTGTCTAAAATATCATCAACTCGTGCGAGAGATAATTTATCCGCAATAAGTTTTTTGTTGACTGTGCGGAAATCAACGCACATACGATATGCTTTTTGACCATTAGTAGACTTTTTAGGAACCAAATTTAGAGGACTATTGTAATTGGAATAACTTCCTTCAATTAAATCGTTATCTAGTAATTTATTGACTTGACGAGTTATCTCTTCACGTTGGGAACATGGCAGACGATACTTTTTTACATATACCGGGTCAGTGTCAGCCAACCTAAGTTTCTGTTCATAAAAATTGTTTAATGTCATTTTGTCGTTGTCAAGAGCGAAAATGTCGGCATATTTGATGCAAAGGTCAAGTAAATTACTGTTAGCTTCTGTAGGGATTTGGTTTTTCAAAATATTTGTTAATTCGTTTGTTCTTTCGTCTTCTGTCTTGGTCTTATTAATTGAGTAAACGTAATAGGCAGAAAGTTTTTCAGTCCGAATATTTACATTCTTTACATGTTTCAACGTCATCTGTGGTATTTATGATTTTAATAATTGGGTTACTGCTATTAACTATGCATCTTGCTGCGAATACACCATGTTCAACTTCTTGCGATTCTACAAAAAGCGGATCTGGCGAATGGCCTAAATCGAAAATTCGATAAACTTCGCATCTGGGTGGTATGATACAAGGTCGCTTTCGGTTCCGTGTAGGATTGGTATCGTGACTATTTCATTGCCGACCCAGAAGGAAATACAATTGCTTGCATAGCTAATAACGCATTTGTTACTTTTTAGAAAATCTTTACCCAGTATACCATCTGATGGTATGTTAAAATCGTCGTTTACTACATGTAAAGTATGTTTAATGTAAAAATCAGTAAAAGTCAAGTTTACGGTAATCGTACCTAAAGTAGAAACAGTATTAGAAGTGACACCGGTAGTATTAATTATGTCGTTCGTATTTATAGAAAAATGTTTATCAATGCTAGAATTTTTGAAGTGAAACTTCTTAGGCGGCGGTATCGCAAAAATGGAGAG